GGAGATGAGTTTAGTTGTATTTCTTTTTGAACACTATTTATTAGGAGACGACTTTTGTTATAGATCTTTGAATGAGCAATTCTTTTTATTTTATTTACATATATTATGTATATTTATTAATTTAATGATATATAAAAATTATAAAAAAATTATAAAATAAATTATTCATATATCATTACTTCTACCAAATTTATCTCATACAGCTGTTACTGCCCTGCTCTTTGATACTCAAGATTTTTTTATCTTCATTAACAATGAATCAAATACTATAGTAGTAGTTTATATACCCACTTGATGCACCAAAGACATTGAAGGTTACATACACTGAATTCGATCAGTCAATTGATCGTAATATAAAAGCTCACTTGATTGGTTGACTTTGTAAATCTAGGATATTTCTTTCTTAGAATCTGCCTTAACTAACGTTAATCTCATAATTAAAGTCTTCACATTTTAGAGGGACATGAGTTTACCCACAACATTTGTAGCCTGAGCTTTTAGGAAGGTTCTTAAAGTCTTAAACAGTTCTGAAACGAGCGAATCCGAAGCTTCAAAATTTTTTGTCCTTAATGGGTTGACTTTGAGTCTTGGTAAGGTAAATAACATATTAGAACCAAATCAAAGCCAAGTCAAACCCTCCTAGCTAGATATCAAATGCTGGGAAAGAAACAAAGAAATTAAGGTATAAAGACACAAACTTTCTGGGATTTGGAATCAAATTCTCATATTCCCATTAAGACTTTGCATCTTTTTGTGAGTCTTGAGCATTACTACTACGTACTCCGCGATGCTCATTCTTTGACTTAAATTAAAAGGATTTTACAACTTGATTTGCAACTTGCATTGCGGTGGCCAGTTGCATCTGCATATGTTCTTTTCATTTCTCAACGCCAAGATTCTCATTCCTGTGGCCTTATTTTAATCAACCACCACGATTCAAAAACATGAGAGGGGAAAAAGATGCTTCATTTTTCTTTTGTTTTCATGTGAAATTCTAAATCAATGTGTATGCATCTATGTTGAAATTAAGAGAGTTATATAGATTTGTCTTCAAGGGACTTTTGAAATTGAATCTTGATCATTAATAGTAGAAGAAATAGTACCCATAACAAAAAGAAGTGATCAAGTTAATGTTTGTTATAACTTTCAAAATGTTGAAAGTAAGTCTAGCTAATGTTTGGTACAAAAGGATTTTACCTTAACCAAACAATTCAATTCCCAAATAAATGTATAGATTTTCTAATATATACCTTTAGGGTATAGGTTAACCGTACATTAATTATATTATTTTTATAGTTAATTTGTATAGAAAAATTTAAAATTAACTTTAATTTCAGTAAATGTCCAATTAAAAACTTACATGTGACATTAATGATAAAAATAATATTAACTTTTGTAATTTTTTTATAGTAATTAATTATAAAAATATAATAAATACATTCTTAAAATATATATTAGATAAATTCATGATTATATTACTCATTTACTCTTATAAAACTCAAATCTTATAAGAAGGTGGTGGAAGAAGGAGAGCAACATTGTATTGACCTATACAATTTAAACTATTGAATGAGATGAACTCCTATACATGAGTTATCCCATATTCAATAGTTGTGATTTTATAGTACAAACTACAAAAACGGTGAACTCTTATTCTCAAATTAATGTAGGGTTTGTCTTAAGAATATATTAAATACATTTTTTGTTATAAATTTATATTAAAAAAATAAAAATTAATTTTTAATTTATTAATTATTTAATTAAATTCATTTGATATTAAAATTAAATTAAATTTTTATATTTTTTTATATATTTATAATAAAAAATATATTTAATACATTTTTAATATGTGTGTTTAGAAAAATTCATTAATATAATTCAACATAGGAAGGTGGAAGGAAGGAGGGGAACGGGTTATTAGGTGACCCGCTCCATGTGAGAGACTGCGCAACGTACAAACAACCTTAAATTTAAGGTTTTAAACATTAAATTAGTCTTGGAAAACAATACAACAAATCTAATCTAATGCGATTAGAGCAGTGCTAGGAGTGCTCGCCTCCTGCACTCTCCAGCCAACAGGCAAACATGCTTTTTTATTGGGCCACGTAAGCTTGCTTTGGCTATAAAATAATTATGTTATTCTCCTAATCTTCTGCAGCTTGTCATAGGTTGGTATTACCACAGTCACCACATAATGCCGAAGGATATATAGATTTATTTGTAACAAGCAAGCAAGGTTTTTAAAATCGGACCGGATCGGCTGGTTGAACCAGTTGGACCGGTACCCGGTGATGAAAATAGTTCGGTCTATATAAAAAAATCATTTGATGTCAAAATTGGTCAAAATTGATCAAAATCGGTCAAAATCGATAAAAACCGATAAAAACCAATGAAAACCAGTGAAAACCGATGAAACCGGTGGAACCAAAAAAACCACCGGTTTGATTTCTCATGCAATCTTCTTTCAATTTTTTCCAATTTCACCCTTTTCATTCTTTTCTTATACCCATTTTAACCTTTAATTTTAACAAAATTACAAAATTATCAACACCAAATTAGAAAATCCATGCCTGCAGCTTGTTTCTCTCATTAAATCTTTCTTGCTGTTTGGATCGGTCGGTTCACCAATTCAATCGATTAAACCAATTGAACTGATTAAACCAAATATCCGACCTAAAAATGATTCAATGACCGATCCGGTTTTAAAAACCTTGCAAGCAAGATTTTTTAAAATCGAAATTTTATTTAAAATGGTTTTAAATAGATAAAATTAAAATCATAAAATTGAATTTGTAAAATTGGAAGTTTATTAAATTTAATAAATAAATAATAAAAAGTTAAATATAAAATTAAATTAAAATACATTATTTTTTTACCCCAAAATTTATATATATAAAAAATAAACACCGAATCCATTGACGTGTCAACATATCCACCATTAAGAGAATACCCCTCCATCCTTTCACCTTCCTTGGTTTCTCCGGTGTCACTTTCCCTTTTTTCTACCATTTTTGTTCCATTCGAGCTCCCTTTCTCCTCATCTACTCTTTTTGCACCAGATTTTTTACTTCTTTGCTTGAACAGTGAGCAACAGCAACCAATATCCCGCCAGCAAGTGCCTGAGCAATTAGCAGTGGCAGTGAGCAGCAACAGTGCACCACAACAGTCCAATCTCTCCCTCCCCTGCGGCAAACCTAAAGCAAAGAAGATCAGAGATCAAATTTATGTTTGAATTTAAATTTTTGGAAGCCTCTTCTTCAATCTTTATAAAAGTAAAGTCGAGATTTCAAACAAGTTTACCATAAATTTGCAATTTTACGATTTTATAGCCTGATTTTATGGGAATTCGATTTTAACATCGATTTTACTGGAATTACATACCTAAAATCATAAAATCGTAAGGTTTTACGATTTAAAAATGCGATTTTGACAACACTGGTGATGAGTATACTTGTCAGCGGTGTATGTTTTGAGGCTAGCTATAGGGATCGGTTGTCCAAGATTTCACTTGATTTAAAATTTTTAGTAATTAAATAGACGAAAAATATAGACCAAGGCGAGTTCAAAGCTGAAATCGGGGATGAAGGGGGTGCTCACCCCCTTAGAGCTTCTTAAAATAATTAAATAGGTCTCATATTTAAAAAAAAAAAAAATCAAATAAACCCTTCTTAAAAGAAATAAAATAGTGTGTCCTAATTTTTATTTTTTTATAAATCTTATAACAAATTACTAATTACTAATTACTAGACTAATAAAACAGATTTATGAAAATATTTTTATTTATTTGAAATGTTTGTCATTATAATAGATATCTTTTTTTGTACAATTATAATATATACTTAGTTAATGATCATTTATATTAAGTAATAAATAAAATTGATTTGAAATTGATATTATCAATATTTTAGAATATTTAATTTTACTTACTATATAATATTGAGTATTATTTTGTAATATAAGTTATGTTTTGAATTGAAATTTAAATGCTCGTTAATTTTAATAATTTTTTCAATATTTAAGACCCTAAAAATTTTAGTTTTTGTACATGTAAATCTTAATTTTATTTACAAGTCAAAAAATTTATTTTTATCATCTACATTTCAAATAACACTTTGCCCCCTAGAATTATTTTTTGGCTCTATTCTTAAATAAGTCTCTAATATTAGGGTCCTTCTTCTTATCTAAGGGTTTTACTTTTATAGTTTAACACAAGCTGACTATAAAACAACATACTCTTAAATAGAACTCTATTATTTTACACCTATTTCTGTACAACTGCTCCATTAATCTTCCCTGATAGTTTATATTTACTCTTAATATTCAGATTCCAGACTCATATTATAAATTGAACAAAACAAAATAAAAGGGTTCTCGAGCAGTATAGCAGCTGGATTTCTAAATCTGGTTTTAAGTCGGTGTTCAAATTTTCATCCCTTGTTTTATGCAAACCTTTTTCACGCTTTTTCTTGTCGCTGGTGTTCCAAAGAAATGTACTTGAATTGACAATAAGTGGACAGATCCATAATACATAAGTGCGCACGCTTTTTCTAAACACTACAGGTATGTGATTTCATAGTCAATACATTTCCTCGCCTGTAAGATCAATAGAATCACTGGGAAAACCGGTTTCCTACTAGATTAGAATAATTTTTGCTGAAACTTGAGAATTGTATTTGAAAATGAAAACATTTAACACTTGGAAGCACAAGAATGACTTGCTTTTGAATTTGACGGCTTAGAAATCTAAAACATGGTACAAGTACAATGCAAACTACACAATACACAGAGGGTAGTGGAAGTAGCAGAGAGGGGATAACCCCTACCCCATATGGGAAAAATGAAATTAAAGATAACTCCCTCCTTTTTCTTTTTCTTTTTCTTTTTTAATTTTTAATTTTTTTTCTAAAGAAAAATAAAAATAAAAATGTTCTATCACTCTAGAACTTTTTTATAAAATTATTAAAAGATCTTCAATGAATTTTTTTATATTAATTCATTAAAAGTATTTTAATTTTTTATTAAAAATCATCTTAATTTTCCTCAATCCCTTCCTCATATTTAGCCAAAATTTTCAAAATAGTTAATTGATTAGACAAGGAAACAAGAATTGGTTTTCTCTAAATCTAAATCACCTAAAAAACAAAGAGAATCTTCCTTGATTTCAGCTTTCTGTTGCTTCGATGCCTCGACATCGTTACGGTCATCCACGGCAACAACCACAGAGGCTGCCCCGGTCAGCTTCTTGGCTCTTTCCGCCTCGAAATCCCAATCTGTTCTAGCCAAAACCACCATCATGGTCATGGCGCATGACGCCTGTGCCGCCAGCAGACCCAACCAGAGTCCCCTGAAATCATACCCTGAAAAAAAGGCCAATCCCACTGCCACCGGCGTACCCACCAGGTAAAAACACCCCAGGTTTATGTTTGCGCCGACTTTCGGCCTCGCCGTGCCTCTTAGCACGCCGCACCCTGTTGTTTGCGGGCAGTTCCCGAGTTCACAAAACCCAATTATGGGCAGAACAAGGGATGTCAAATCTTTGATCTCTTGATCTTGTGTAAACATGGTTGCCCATCTACTCTTAACTGTAATTGAGAAAACCAGGGCCGAGAGTCCTAGAAGGAAGCCGCCGGAGAGGCCGATCATGGCGGCATGCTTGGCCCTCTTCGGTTGCTCTGCTCCTAGTTCGTTTCCGACTCTGGTTGATACACTGAAGCTCAGAGACGAAGGGAAAATGTAAATTAGAGATGTGGTTTGAATCAGAATCCCCATTGATGCAACGGTGGCTTTTGGATTACTCAACAATCCGCAGAGCAAGATCATGATTTCGTACCACCACCATTCAAGGCAGACAGAAATGCAACTGGGAATGGCCAGGCTGAGTAGAGGCTTCCATTCTTTGAAACATTCCGTCGAACAACCTCCCCATGTCTTCTGATGGACACCGGAGATAAGGATGTGAAGAACTAGTAAGGTTACAAAAATGAAGTTAGTCAACACCCCACCAAAGGCAACGCCTCTGATGCCGAATTGAAGGTATGAAACGAGGAGGTAATTAATGGGTAGGTGGAGAAGAATGGAGAAAATGGCACAGAATGTTAGAGGGAGGGTTATGGATTGAGTTCGGAGATAGATTCTTAGTGGGTGCAAAAGGGATTGGGCTAAGAGGTCAGGGAGGGAGAAAAGTAGGTATGATTGTGCTTCGGTGGCTATACTTTCGTCCTGCCCACAGAGAAGTAGGATTCTCTTCATATTCAGCCACAGAATAGAAATGGGAATTGAGGTAAGAATGAGAAGAAGAATTGTTCTTTGCAAGGTGAGACCAAGAAGCTTGTACCGTTTGGCGCCAAAAGCTTGACCACAAATGGATTCCATTCCCATGGCCAGACCGGAAAGAATGGAGTAGCCAGTGATGTTAGCAAATCCAATGGCTAGCGAACCACCGGCTAAGGCGAGCTCGCCAAGGTGGCCGAGGAAGATCATGGAGATTAATGGGCGGAGATAGAGCATGAGGCCTGTTAGTATCATGGGAAAAGCAATCTTGGCAATGGATATTGCTTCCTTGGCCACAGTTGGGACATCACTCTCCTGGGGCTCAAGTTCTTTGGTTGTCGACCATAGCAATGGCGTGCCTGTGTTGGGTTTTTCGGTGTCGTCTTTGATTGGAAGAAGATTGGGATGATTTGGAGTGCCTTTGCAAGAATAAGGAGAGGAAGGGAGTTGACACATTCTTTTTATGTATATAATGGGAAAGTAGTACTTAACGAGAGAGGAAGGACGAAGAGTGGATGGGTGGGAGGAGTAGCAGGCAGATATATGGTTGTATTTATAGGGGAGACGCCCTTGATTTTTCCCATACTATTTCATGTATGCAAATGTCGTATTACCGGGCCCGCAACGAAGAAAATATTATTAACGGTGCAAAAACCAATTTTGTTAACTAAGATTTCAGGTTAATTTCCATTAACAGGGTTTGCAAAATAGATAAGACATAAAAGGGTTTGCATCAAAATAATTAATTTGGGGTCCAAAAGTGGGGTTATGGCCTTTATTGGGGAGCATTGTAGCAGATGCACAAAATCAAATATTGTACTTTAGGAAGCAACAAAATGGGGTGTTGGATATTAGTGTATCGACGCATTTTGTAAATCCAATTAAAATGCCTACTAGGATTTAGGACCCAGCAATATTGGCCCCAAACAAAAGGGTGAAGATCATATATATTCTGCATTTGCCACCCCTAATTTGTCCTCTATGAGGGTGGACCGGCCTTGCGATTGTGCCACTTATGTATTGAAGGCAGTTTTGGCTTCCTATCATCAAAACACCTGACGGGGATGTTATATTGTGATAAAAAGTCAAAGTTAGAGAAATTACTACATTAACTTGGGGGTGACGTAAGTTGGTTCATTCAACTTAGCCATATGACTCGGACTAGGTTAACTCGGTCATGATCCAAGGCACACTTGGCTTGGCAATGACCTAGGGTCGGCCACACTTGACTATGTGTTGGGTAGCTCAGCTCGACTGTGGCTGAAGATCAAATTGATTATGCCATGACACAAGGCTTGTTAGGTTCGCTTGGAAATGACTAAGGATTCAATCAACTTGATTGTTGTTGGGAATGGGCCCAACATCCAACCTGAGCCATGTGCAACGGGCCTAGTCATTCCCAAAATGAAAATGCCTTTATGCACTAGCCCAAACATACCCACATGGGTGGTAACTCGTGGACCAATGAGATGCTTACATGTATGAACTCATGTCATCATATGGGGGTTATAAATACCCCCCACCTACCTCCACTTAAGGTAATAACTCCACTATACTTTTCTCTTTATAATTACTCTTGAGGGCTTCTCTCTCTAGAATATCGAGTATTGCTGACTTGAGTGTCGGAGTGTTTTTCTGGAAGAAACATTCTTGGGATTTTCAGGTGTTGAAGCAGTTGAAGATTTCTACAGTGTAGGTTCATGAAGCTGCCCAAAGATTTGGCATCATATGTGGGAACTTGAACAAAGAAGCAATGTTGCTAGTGTTGGAGCTAAACATGGTGCGCACTTTTACTGGGAATCGTCCCCCTCAGAGGAATGAGATGGACGAACAGGATGACACCCAGCTTTCTGAACTCGACCTGAGTGATTTTAGACCAATGCCAAGGAACCTTTTCGTAGGAGGAGTAGAAGGAGAACAGTTGAGTGGTATGGATGATGAAAGAACACCAATCGGTTATGTGACTCAACCCGAAGAACAGTTCCAAATTCCAACAAAAGCAAGGCGGAGACATCTCGTATATAATACCTCACGACGTAGAGGGCCAGTGGAATCTACGCGGACGTCCGAGTTGGAAGAACGAACCAGGGTCCTAGAAATGGCTATAGGAAAAATACTTTCTCGTCTAATCCCTAATGACCCCCTGATCCCCCCTATTGAAGAGGGGTGAATAGCCTGTAGAAATTGCAACTCGAAATTCTCCAACTCTAAGCAACATAATAGTGCCAACCAGGCCGAGAGGAAGTGGGAAATCAAACCTAGAGCCCATCTTGTCAAAACACAACGAGGAGTTGTTAAGGAAGAATGCTGACCTTGAAAGACGGCTTAAAAATGTACAGAAGTCTATTGACAAGCTGAGAGGTCAGAGGTCATGCCAACAGGCCCTTGATTTAGATAGCACCCCCCTCAACCTATCCATTACAACATAACCATATTAAGAAGGGTTCAAAACTCCTCTCTTAGAGACATGATGGCTCTGGTGACCCAAACAAACATTTGCATACCTATCAAGCCATCATGAAAATTCAAAACACTACTGATGCTATGATGTGCTAAGTATTTCCTACAACTCTGAAGTCGACTGCTAAAAGGTGGTATCACAAGCTTCCTAGACATTCCATAACTTGATGCTCCCAGCTTGCCACCTTGTTCTCAAACAAGCTAGTGGGAAATAAAATGCACTACTATTGAGCTGATGCAAGTTCATCAAAAAGAAGGAGAGTCCTTAAAGGACTACATACAGTGGTTCAATAAGGTCACCCTAGACATTGACAATGTCCCTAACACCATTTGCTTGTCTGCCTTGTTGCATGGCCTCAAGCTTGGTCGATTCCTAGACGACCTGTTGGAAAATCCACCAAAGTCATGGAATGAGGTGAATGACAGATCGACGAGTTTCATTTTGTCAGAAGACTTTCGGTCGTCCAAGCAACGAGCTGACAATAAGGAAAATAAAGTGCATAAACAACCAAAAGGAAGAGAAGAAAAGAAAAAACAAAAAGTTGTCGAGCAGACAGGAAAGCTGCATTCTTTCCCAAAATATGCTAACTACATTCCTCTAAACTCATAGAGGTCCCAAATCTTGGCGCAGATCCAACACTAGGTCAAGAAACCACTTCCTCCGTTGCATGATTCCCCACGAGCAAACATAAGCAAATATTGTGACTATCACTATGGGTATGGCCACAATACAGATGACTGTCAGAGTCTAAAGGACGAGCTGAAATTTTTAGCTCGCAACGGAAAGTTGGAAGGATATATCCAAAAACCCTACACCTAGCAGCCTAATCAAACCCACTTTGTACAAGATTACAGCCAACCTCAAGGGCAAGGGTACCAGCTCGATAATAATCAAAACCCATACCAAGGGAATCAATACTCTTTTGAACTTGGCAAAACATACAGGGGATGCCAATTCAACAAAAAAGGACAGAAGACCTCGTCACAAAACCAAAAAGACAATAGAAGGATAGGTTATACCGAGATACTTCCACCCTCTAGCACAATAAATATGATTTCTGGTGGCATGCACTCTGGAGGCTAAAGCGCCCGAGGGCGTAAAGCTTATGCCTGCTAGGTGATGACTGTAAACAAGAACAGGCCCCTAAAATGACCATTTAAGGAAGCAGAATGGGACAATACGCCCATTACATTCAATCCCACTGATTACAAATGACTAAAGGGAGAACATAATGTTATGATGTCTCATGCTGATCCCTTCATGGAAATAGTTCACATAGGCAATCACAACATCAATAAGGTCTTCATTTATACGGGTAACTCTCTAGACATCTTATATTGGAGTTGCTTCCAAAAGAAGCAGCTAAACCCAACTTCCTTGAAGAAATATGAAGGGCCAATATATGGATTTGATAATCAGCCTGTCCCTATTGAAGGGGTAATCACTCTTCCCATTTACATGGGTACTGAACCACGATTCAAGATGGCCTCAGTGAGCTTCTTGGTTGTCAAGATGGAATAAGCTTTTGATGCCATAATAGGAAGAGCCATTCTACACGAATTACAAGTTGTTATTTCCCAATGGTTAAATACCCTTTTTGGTCCCTCTACTATAGAAAAAAGCCCCTTTTTAGTCCCTATACCGAAAAAATTCCCTTTTTGGTCCTTACTGTTCACAAATCCAGCCCTTTTTTAGTCCTTCCGTTAAATTTTGGCTAATGTGGTAGGTTAATTAACGAAAAATTTTTTTTTTCTTTACTTAAATTACGTGTGAAATCCATCTAGCAAAACTTGATGACATGGCCAAATTTTTTATCTTTAATTACCAATTTACCCTCATTTTCTTCCCCCATCCTCTCCTTCCTTCAGCCTTTTTTTTCTTTTCTTTTTTCTTTTTTTTTTCCTTTTTTTTCTTACCTTTAGGTGAACCAAGGAGCCTAGGTTCGTCGCGATGAACCCAACTCCTGGGTTCGTGTCCCGCTTTCTTCTTCTCTATTCGTTCTCATGTCTTTCGTTTTTTTGTGAGCTCGTGTTCTAGATCAGTGGGGAGGACGTAGTAGTTGATTGGTTTCGATATGGATGGATTTGGTTTGGAATGATAATGACATTGTAATTGTAGTGAAATTTTCCAGTTATTGCTAATTGTTTGGAATTTAATGATGTTCTTTTCATCTCATCCAAGTGATCGAAGGATGGATGTGATCGGTTTGATTTTCTAGTTTAGGCCATTGACATTGAGTGCTGGAATTTCATATCCTTAATTTTCAATTTCTTGAAATTTTTGCTGCTCTTGGGTTCATTTCCGCTTCTGTTGTTGGATGTTTCTAGAGCTATTTGTTTGAGAACAACATGCTTTCTTTTTCTTGGCAGGGATTGAGAACCCAGCTTGCGCCTGGGTATGTCATGAACCCAGGCACGAGCTGGGTTCATTGCCAACCCAGTCGCAAACCCAATCGCGTGAGCTGGGTTCATCCTGGGTTCGCAATGAACCCAGGCGCCTAGGTTCA